ATCCATTCAGCCGATCTCCGGGTCTGGCGGTAGTACTTTTAGCTGTAGCTTAGCATAGATCATTGAATCTGATTAGACCAGGGATCCTCAAATCTGGCCCACGAGATCCACTTTCCTGCAGAGTTTAGCTCTAACCCTAATCAAACGCACCTGAGCATGCTAATCAATGTCTTCAGGATCATTGGAAAATCACAGGTAGCTGAGTTTGATCAGGGTTGGAGCTGCAGCGCATTGGACCTCCAGGGTAAGATTTGAGGAACCCTGGATTAGACTGTTAGCATCTCGCTCAAAAATGACCAATATATATAGATATTACGCGGCGCCTGAAAATAGTCCCCAGCACGCTCCCTGTGCAAGCAGGTGGTCACGTTGGTTATGTTGACGGAAGTTAGCCTATTTTCAGGCGCTGCGTAATATCATTGCGCCTGCTGCACCTATGGTACGGCAGCAAAGTTCCTTGATTATTACGCCGGAGTGAGAGTACAGTTCCTAGCCATATCGGCCTAGAAAATCATAACTTTTCATTTTCAGGCAGTCTTAGTACGCGATGTAACTACAGAAGAGTCAAGTTTTAAATAGGAAAAATATCAAAACTCTTTGGTCATTTTTGAGTGTGGTGCTAACGGTCTAATCAGATTCAATGATCTATGCTAAGCTAAGCTAAAAGTGCTACCGCCAGACCCGGCGATCGGCTGAATAGATTCGAAAACGGTAAAACTCAACTGTTTAACTTTAGGGGAGTTGGAAAATGAGCCTATTTTCAAAAATAGTGGAGTGTTCCTTTAAATGATGGTATGTTATTGAGATTTTTAATTGTTTTCTTCAAAGCTCTGATACAAAGTTTGAGGAGACGGGTGAGAAAAAGCCAGATGGATCCTCATCAGAAGCAAAGACTGTTAAGTGTAATGAAGATGCAGATGTCAGTAACATCCTTGCATCAGAGGAGCCCTTGTCTGAATGCAAACCAACCAAAGCCAAACCTGTGAAGAGAACTGCGACTCCAGCGTTCCCTGAGCCCTTAGTGCCCTACCCCTGCTTTTCCACCCTCAATGCAAAGAATCGCAAGCTATATCTCAACATGCTCATCCACAAGAATTATTCCAGAGCTTCCAAGGTAGACCATCTCTCGTCCTGATCACCTGCTTTAATAGTAAGGCAGTTTTGATTGAGGTACATGGATGAAGGCTGTTTTCATGTTTCATATTGTCTCTCATTTCAAAGTGTTTGTTGGAGCTGGTGAAGAACGAGGTAACAGAGTTTATGAAATACCTGCAAGATGTTTCTAGAGCATGTGCTGATGGGTACAACTATATGCCACCATGCAGCACCCGCTACACTGAGGTAGAATTTTTATCTTTTCTTATCTTTTTTTATTTTATTTTATTTTTTTACTATTCAAATGTTTTTACAAAATCCATTGTTGTTTTTAATTCCATTTTTAATCATTTAATTTTAATTAAATAATAAAAAGATATATTTTAAATGAAATAATTTATTTTATTTATTTTATTGATTTTGTATGTTTTCCCCAACAGGAATATTTTGCAGCCTGTTTGGAACATGTGAAGAGTTACCCACAGGTTTACAGCATTCAAGAGATTACTAGCCTAACCAATGTAAAGTTTGTGGGTGAAATATCGCTCATCTTTGAGAAACAGCTTCTTGCTATGGTACTTATTTTTCTATATTTATTTTCTTTGATCTTAAATGTGTGATATACTGATGCTTGTTATATCTATCTCTACTGTCTTTCTCCTCAGGGTAAAATAGACATGCTAGACACAAAAGTGATACCAGAAAACACCCAGCTTGCTGTAGACTATGAGACCGTGTCAAATGTGATTCCTCCAGCTAAAAAAGCAACTTTAGGACACACTGTAAGTAGCCTGTATGTTAGCGTGTGTTTCTGTCAATTTTTGTGGTTTGTTGTCTTTATATGGATAAATATCACAAAAGGGTAATTTTTCACCCCAAAATGAAAATGGGCAATTATACACATTTTTTACTTAAATTCTTATTTTGCATTTTTATTTAAATGCTTAATTGAGTTAAATTCAGTACAAGTACTACCATGAATAAATACTATTAAGTACCATTCAATTATTATTAGTAGTAGCAGTAGTAGTATAATATCATTGCTGTAATGACAATTGGGAGAAAGAAACTTGCTGAATTGCCATGTAAATATTGCATGTCATGATGCAATACAAATATATTAAAGGGGTCATATGATGCTTTTTTTAAAGATCATTATTTTGTGTATTTGGTGTAACAGAATGTTGATATGCTTTAATGTTCAAAAAACACATTATTTTTCAAATACTGTACATTATTGTAGGTCCTCTATGCCCCGCCTCTCTCAAACGCTTCGTTTTCTACAAAGTCCCTCCTTCCGACAAGCGCCGTCTGCTCTGATTGGCCAGCTGACCCAGTGCATTGTGATTGGCCGAACACCGCAAGCACTCGTCGCTTCATCTTTCACCCTTACCATAATTGCGAGCTTCAGCATTCAAAATAAATGTAAAGACAGTAAATAATGTCATTAGTTTTACCATCAGTTCAAGCCCGAAA